GGTGCAGGGCCCAAGCACTTGGGCCATCCTCCACTGCACTCCCTGGCCACATTAGAGAGCTGGCCTGGAAGAGGGGCAATCGGGATAGAATCTGGCGCCCCGACCGGGACTAGAACCCGGTGTGCCGGCACCGCAGGTGGAGGATTAGCCTATTTTTTTAATTAATTAATTAATTAATTTTTTGACAGGCAGAGTGGACAGTGAGAGAGAGAGAGACAGAGAGAAAGGTCTTCCTTTGCCGTTGGTTCACCCTCCAATGGCCGCTGCAGCCAGTGCGCTGCAGCCGGCGCACCGCGCTGATCTGAAGGCAGGAGCCAGGTGCTTCTCCTGGTCTCCCATGGGGTGCAGGGCCCAAGCACTTGGGCCATCCTCCCCTGCACTCCCTGGCCACAGCAGAGAGCTGGGCCTGGAAGAGGGGCAACTGGGACAGAATTCAGGCGCCCCGACCAGGACTAGAACCCTGTGTGCCGGCGCCGCAAGGCAGAGGATTAGCCTAGTGAGCCACGGCGCCGGCCAAGGATTAGCCTATTGAGCCGCGGCGCTGGCCTTGTTTTGATTTCTGGCAGCGCAGAAAAGAGAGAGAGTCTATCATCCACTGCTTCACTCCCCAGAGAGTTGCCACTGCCGGAGCTGTGCTGATCAGGAGCCAAGAGCTTTTTCCAGGTCTCTCATGCAGGTGCAGGGGCCCAAGGACTTGTGCCATCTTCTACTGCTTTCCCAGGCCATAGCAGAGAGCCAGATCAGAAGTGGAGCATCCGGGCCTCGAACCGGCACCCATATGGGATGCCAGTAATGCAGGAGGTGGCTCTGCCTGCTAAGCCACAGCGCCGGCCCCGGGCTAAAGTCTCAACATCTCCCTTCACTCAGCTCCTTTCACAAGCCACGTGCAATCCATGGGGCTGATTTATAAAGCAAACCGGAACCCAACCCTTTTCAGCTCCTCCATTGCCACCACCCTCCCACACCTGAACTACTACTTCTCTCTCTTTTCCCTTCCACTGTTTATTCTTCACATGGCTAACAGACCAATCGCTTTACAAGATCAATCGTGGTATTTTTCTACTCAAAACCCTACAAAGACTCATTCATTCTGGGGCATAAGGCCTAGCAGTGCCAGCCAGGGCCTTGCTAACGTCCTGCCCTCTTCTGCCCTCTTCGCCCGCTCGTCCCCCTCTGGCTGGACTGACTCGGCTGCCATTCGCTGAGTTAACATCTCTGCCCGGGGCCGGGATGCCGAGCACTCCTCTCCCACAACTCTGCCCAAACGTCACTTCTCAATCAGGCCTGATGACTTCCGGATTCAGTCTCCAGTCTGCCTAACCCAGTCCCTGACCCGTCTTCCTGCTTCCCACTCAATGCACAGTTCCAAGTAGACCAGCAGGGGGCTCTGCTCCACCTGCTCAGGTCCCCTGCCTCCTGCCACCAAGGGCTCCTGCCTCAGCTTGCTCCTTGGGGACCTGTCATTTGGCCCGTGGACATTTTCCGTGGGAGGGTGGGGGCACAGAGGATGGGGAAGGCATGTCTGCTCTGAAGTGCACTGGCTGAGAAGTCACGTGAGTCACCCACTGGCGGGAACAACGGCGGATGGCTGAAATGATCCTGGAGGAAAAGAAAACCTCGGACCTCAGCGAGCCCTGAGCACGAGGCACCACCTCTGCACATCTTCAGCACACGGAGCCCACCAGCAACTCCCACCACACAGCAGGTGCACAGAGTGCGTCCACTTGGTCAGCACAACCTAGACCTCCGACTATGGCCATGTGTGACCCCATCCCGAACATGCAGTGCTGGAACAGCGGCAGGAGTTTCTTCCTCGCCCAACACCCGTGTTGGCCAAGCACACCCTGGCCTGCCCTTAGGGCTGCGAGACCTTCATGATCCACCAACCTGCCATGCCTGCGAAAGTTCTGGTTTTCTTACAAGTGGCTTCATGGCTCAAATAGTCAACGGCTCATCCAGTCCAGGTTCAGGGTCTCTGTGGCCAACACAATTCTCTCAGAAACTTAGGTCTTCGCTCTTTCTGTTTCCAGTCAGCTCCAAGCACCGGTAACCACATCAAGTTCTTCCTCTGATGCAAAGCCCAAATCTGATTTATTTCTCTGCCTCTACAGACGCCTCTTGATTTCAGCTAACGGAAGCCACCTAGAGGCCATGCGAATGAACAAGGTCAGGGGTTCCCAGTTTTGGCTGCACAATATGATCCCCTGGGGGGGATTCTAAACACTGTCTGGGTCCAGGCGCACTGCGTCTCAGACCAGTCAATCAGAAGCTGTGTGGGTGGGACCAAGCTGACTGATGAGCAGCCAGGGCCAGGAGCCCATAACCCTCACTCCGACCCCTGCCCCAGGACTCAGTCAGGGCATTTCCAGCTGAGAAGGCTCCCTTGTAGCTTCACGCCTCTCCCAACATCGCTCACACAGTGCAGTGTCCAGAAGCCGCCTGTCTCCTCTGTCACTGCCCCAGGGGTCAGAAGGTCCTGTTTCCTTTTACCATTTGCCGGCAAGCCAGCCCCTTCCTTCGTAAGCTCATGTTTCTTGTGGTACCCTAGCAGGAACAGCCTCACACTGTGATCCTTCCAAAGACTGACCCAGAGCTCGGCTGGCGTGAGCTGTCCCTGCAGAGCACCACGGGCAACACGCTTACCAACCAGGTCGCCCCCATCAGCACAGCTTTCTGTCCCTCCTCCCTCTGACATCAGCCTCATCAGGGGTGAGCCAGCTGAACACTAAGCCAGTGCCACAAATGAGAAGGTTTAAAAGAAGTTTGCTCGGGCCGGCACCGTGGCAAAGCAGGTTAATCCTCTGCCTGCGGCACCAGCATCCCATGTGGGCGCTGGTTCTATTCCCGGCTGCTCTTCTTCCAGTCCAGCTCTCTGCTATGGTCTGGGAAAACAGAAGATGGCCCAAGTCCTTGGGCCCCTGAACCCGCATGGGAAGACCTGGAAGAAGCTCCCGGCTCCTGGCTTCAGATCGGCACAGCTCCGGCAGTTGCAGCCAATTGGGGAGTGAACCAGTGGATGGAAGACCTCTCTCTCTCTGTCTCTCTCCCTGCCTCGCCTCTCTCTTTAAAAAAAAAAAAAAAAAAGTCTTAATTTAAAAGCAAGTTCCACACAGACATCCTGCTGAAGGATCATACCAGTGTGGGGACCCCTGTACCCACCACAAGGGAATGTTAAAACACTTGTTAAAACATTGTGGAAAAATGGAATTAAAAGAGAACATTATTTTGGTGCAAAAATTTTTGAAATTCATGCATGTGAGGGTCTTTATAAAGCTCATGGAAAATGAGTATCATGAGAGAAAACTACGCACAGGTTTCAAATATTTTTGCACTGAAAGAAACCTACCTGTTATTCAATCTACCCATGAACTTCTTGAAGTAACCTTGTACACAATGCATATATGCATCAACATTCAGAATCGGGACACTTAGGACACCAGCTTCAGCATTATGCATGCTGACAAAATGACGTTTCCCAAAAAACTAGCAACATTGAAATAAAAATAACAAACAGAACTAAGACCTACTCAGAGACTGCTGCGAGGCTAAAGGAGACTTCACTGTGATCTGTGTGCTCTTTCCTACACAGAACAACGCAAAGGAAAAATCCCCACAGAGAACAGGAAAAAGCACTTTGTAGATCATAAGCAGTAGTCAAGCCAGTCAGTCAACTTTAAATAAATGTAGACTCCTGACTCACTTTTAAAAGGGTTATCAATTCGCTAAATGAGCAAGTTCCTCATTCTCCTGGCCCCAAGGCCCAGAATGAGAATTCTAAGTAGAAGCACAGCGGATCCAATCATTAAGAAAGGTAATGGAGAAGAAAGCTCCCTCAGTGTGAACACAACACAGCGGTGGGGGTACCTGCAAGGGTATCTTAAGAAAGGGAAAGGTAGCAAATTCTCTTTACTCAATGAAAAAGAGAAAAGACTATGTTTTTTTTTTTTTAAATAAAAAGATGTAAAAATTGACTTCTCAACCCCCATAAAAGTATTAGAATTTGCAACACAAATGCGACCCAGGATAGGATGTCCAGGTTAACAAAATGTTACTGTTAACTACAACTGAAAACCTACCTAATCAAAAAAAATAATAAATTTCCAATACATTTTCAAAGATGCAGGAAGTAAAATTATATGCCATGCAGGTTAAACTGTTTTTTCTTTAATTAATAAGAGCTTATCTGCTTTATCCTGGTTGAGTTTTAGGAAAGTAAAGGAGGGAAAGCGGCTACGAAAGCTCTGAGTTGCAGCAGGATTACCAGGCTTAAGGACTCGGATCCTGAGTGACAGTTCTGATCTTACGGATGTTTGACCCTTCAGCAAACCAGCCAGCCAACAACAGCAAAAACCAGAGGAATGGTTTTAAAACAAAGACTATGGCAATTTTTAGCAGAAAATAATCACGGCATTCTAAGAACTCTAGAAATGAACCGAGAAGAAAAACAATTGATGATAAGCTTGTTACATCACTGATAACCACAGAAAGATCACCACAGACCTCCAGCCAAATACCGCTATTCTAAAAGTTGCTTTCATAGATAAAGACACCAGTGTGGCAATGGTTATGAAATACAATGTACTGCCAACTATGGGGGTACATCTGTCGGGCAATTTTAAAATAGGGAGGTAATTACTTTTCACCTTGGAAAGGGAGCATTGTCCCTGAGTAAGAGGGACATCCCCAGTGCGATCACAGCGCCACCTCCTGGCGTGCGTCACATCCCCAGTGCGATCACAGCGCCACCTCCTGGCATGTGTCACATCCCCAGTGCTACCAGTGCGATCACAACGCCACCTCCTGGCATGCGTCACATCCCCAGTGCGATCACAGCGCCACCTCCTGGCGTGCGTTTACAGTGCCGCTTCTGGAGTGGAGTGCAGGAGCACAGCAGCCCACTGGCCCGGCCTCCCGCACGTCTGCGTCTGCAGGCATCCACCAGGAAGCCGGCTCAGGGCCATGACGACCACGCGGAGGGACGGGCAGGGAAAAGCAGTTACCCAAGAGGAATGCTCCTTCATCTGGTGCTGGTTGCTGTGACTGCCGCTGGCATGGCCGCGCCAAAAGCAGTTCTGGCAGAGCTGGTAGTTGTGGCACTGCTGGCATCGGTACCGGAAGCCCATCATGCTCTCACAGCGGCAGTAGGAGCACTCCACGGGATGGAAGACTGGCGCCGGCGGGGGGGGGGGGGGGGGGGGGGGAGGAATGGGGAAGGGCCAAAAAAATTTGGTGTGTGGGGGGAATAAATACACCCCCATGTCCACCCAATTTTATTTTAAAGGTAAGGGTGACCACACGATTGGAAACTAAAAAATTTCTCTTTGGGGGTTGGGGC